AATAAAGACACTGAAAACGCTTATAATACCTATAGCACACTTCAGATGGAACAACGATTCCTCTTCTGGAGATGCTATTAATATTAAGCACCAGAGAACGTTCGGAAGATGTCTAACAAATATCATCTTAATAACATAGTAGATTTTAAATTTTAAGGAATTTGTTTCAGCAGCTAATATGCCAAGGAAGTTAAGCAGATGTGCTTGGGAAAGTGACCTAAAAAGGACTTCTGAAATTCACATTTTCTTAAAAATATTTGACATAGGTTTTGGACAATGATATTACAGCACAAAATGTGAAGGGAAAAAATTAAATTTTAATAATAAAATTAGCACAATTTATGCTTTGATATGGTTCGATACCAATGCGGAAGAGACAATACATTAAACTGATATTTACAGTTTTATTCACAGTTTTAACATAACCAATTCTGTAATTTATATTATTAGAGAACATATTAGCACTAAGAGATATCTGTGATCTTCATGTGTATTTCTTACATCATTGTACACATCAGCAACGACAGATGCAAGCAAAACATTACCACTGGGCTGTTATAGTGTATGCATGCTAGGATTTTGGTCCTTATTTAATCTTGTTTATTTATTTTAATCTTTACAAGGAAAATATAATCTGACAGAAAAATATATACCGCATATATTCAAAAGCTTTTTAGGACAATGTGAGTTGCAGTCTAGGCAGGAGCAACAATTGGTAAAGGAAAACATAATTTAATATTTTCCTCAGCTCAAAAAAAAGTTTTCACATATGGGCAAATATGAAAAATATATTTTCCTACTCGAAAAGGTCTACATAATTCAATTTTCAGCTAAGGAAGCTGTGTGTCACTGCCTTTACTGTTATGATTTTTTTTTTCAAAATATCACATACTGTAGCGATGATGAAGTTTACGTGTTAACATTCATTCTGTCAGACTCCCCCCACCATCAGCTCATTCACACTTCCTTCCAAGTTTTATGTTTTAACACTCAGAATGTTAGACAAAGAACGAAGTGACAGAGGAAACACACTGAAGTCAAATTAAAGGCCTTTTTGAAGTTCAGAGCCATAGGTACTGAAGCTATCTTGCCTTTAAGCTTTGGAAAGCACGGTGATTGATCTAGATGCTAATTGGATTTGTGTGTAATGTATGGCCAAACGGAAGTATCTGTCTAAAGTGGTGCCTTTGTGGCTGCTCAGGTTTGAGCTCCTTGTGACTCACTGATCACTGGGGGTGGCCAGTCCGTAGCTCGCGGGCTAACTACCACCTCTAATGTCTGAAACCCCTCCCTAAAAATTGACCACCCTTCACCTTCCAATTAGGATTGGTTTTCCCATGTGGGAACCAAGTCAAAGCCCAGTGTGGAGATTCTCTCTCTGTCATATCCAGATTCAGAGGCAGACTTTCACAGTGTTTCTGCTGGCTTTTGGAATTTATGGACCACACCGTGAGAAAGCAAATAAAGCAGTGTCTAGTAAGGCTCAAAAACAAAATGAAAAAAATCTTAAACTGCTCCCTGCATTTAAATTAAACCCCCATATTTGTGAATTTGCACATTATGCAGACACAATATTGTATTATTTGAAAAGGTACATTTTCAAGCACACATACTGTAGGGTCAAGGTTTTCAGTTGAGTCATCTGGGTTTCATTTATTTTATTATTTTATTTATTTGTATGGGCACACATCATATGAGGAACACAAGGCAAAAACTGTCCTATAGACTTTTGTCTTGTAGGACAGTTAACTGCTCATGTACAGTATTCTGGTATATTTGTCATGTAAAATGTAAGGTCTACAAATGCAAATATAAAGAATGAATATGAAAGTGCAATAACTAAGTACTATATGTAAGGAAGGGAAGCATGTCCAACATGTGAAGTTCTCTAACAAGAGAAGTTATGAACCTTATTTTCTGTAATTGGTAGATGGAGCACGAGTATGCGTTAAGGTAATTATTATCAGAAATCTGTTCTGTAGTATAGGCTTTAAATTGGTGGCTTACTGTAGCCCAAAAACAGTTAAAAGTTTTCACACTGAATGTCTCCTGAAGCACATTCATCATGGTAGGGAAGTGAGGAAAGTGTACATTTACTACTAAAACAAGAATAGGACACATGTTGAATGGACAATAAATATTATTTTTTAAATGTTGTCAGACCTCTAGTATAGCTTTCTAATTGATGTATTGGGGAGCTGGGCTCACGTCTTAAAAAGTTTATTTTTGGAATATACAGTATGCTATTCGTAATTTCTGACCTTACTGCTTTTAAGAAATCAAAATGTTCAATTGGGTTCTTTTTTAACATAATATGGATCTACGTATTCAAAGTCTTTTAAAAATCATTCTGCTTTACTTCCGTAAAACTGTGGTAGTGCGGAATAAAATGAAGATTACTCATGCCTGTGAAGGAACAGACCTAGCTTTCTGTTTCTAGTGTAATATTCTATGGATATTAATTTTCACCGGTGATGGAAAAAGAGTATTGAATTTTATTTTAATTTTGCAAGTATGCGCGGAGCTACATCAGACCAACGCAAGTGAACCAGTTTCAACCAATTATTAATATTCATCTTTGTTTATAAATATTTCTTGAGACCTGATAATTCTTTTGTTTTTATGTTTAGCTCTCATAATTACCTATAAATTGATAAAACCTGACTGTAAAGGTTTATTACTTGTGATACAGATCTCAGAAACTTTATAAAAGGGGGGGGGGAGGAGAGGGCAGGGGTAGCTATACAGAACAATCTCTTGATAATTAACAGCTAGATAAACAAAACATAAATTTCTATATTGCATTTATTTGGACTACCACTCAAATATGCGTGAACCATGCTATTTTAATTAAAAGATAAATCTATGTGACACTTTGCCTCAGAGTTAATTATTCAGTATAGTATAATAAAAATAAAGCCCATTAAACATGCCTTCCACTGTATTTCTCCATTAACAGTAAAACAGCTCACACTGGGAACATTCTGAGGTTTTTTTTCCTCACCCATTGTTCAGATTCACTCCCCCCCACCACCACACACACTTTCTGATCTGTCTTCATCGCTTTCTAATGTTAGCAGCCACAAACAGTAACACTAATGCTAAGAAAACATTGGATGGATGAATATGTAAAGATATACGTGAAGTAGCAGGTACAGTTTTCATATTTAAATTAAATACCCATTAATAAGCTTCCAGAAACACATTGATGCATGTTCCCATCTAACTGGGATTAGACAAAGGACTGCAGTTTATCTGTTTTTTTCTTGCTACACTCAACCCGTGTGTTGCAACAAAAGTTAAGATTCTCTAGGGGAAGCACTGTAATCCAACATAATTTAATATCATAAACTTTTAACGATTTTCATCCCAGGTCTTCCAGGTTTACACAAATTGGCTTTGCACCAAGAGCACACGGATACATTCACTTTTACTGTGCTTTGTGTTCAGCAGTCATAGGTGAAACCACTGTTCAACATCTGAGAGAATACCGTTAAAACACCTCAGACATTAACCTCCTGTTTTGGCATAAAAGTAAAAGAAACGTGTTTCTGTTTATTTCAAAAACAGCCTGTTTTTTAAATCATCCATTATTTTCTTTCCAAACAAAGCTGAAGTTCGTGCAAAGGACAACAATTAAAAATCTGTCACAGGAAAGACCCCTGCTCTGATAAAACAATGTAGCTTTCTGAACTCCAAAGCATAGTGGAAATATTGATGTTTTTCTTACAAATATTTCTTGTATTCTTTAAAATATTTCATTCTTTTTTAAATAAAGATTTATCAAAAAGGAGGAATTTTGAATTACTTTGCTGAATTGTTAATTTTATCTAAGTTGCTTTTTCAACCTACGAGCAAAAGGATAATGTTCAGTCACAACACTTGTAATGTCTGGCTTGGAATTCCTTTCCACAATTTAAAATTTCACTTTTTCCCATTTTGAATTGCCAGACTATGTTTTATCACATACTTAGCCAATTTAGAACCACAATTTTCAGTCTTAGTCTCTGTGCTTTGGCTGTGGCCTGTGTACTGCACAAGGGGTATGAAGACCAGCACACTCACTCCATCACCCCACCCACTCATCAGAGCCATTTACCTGGCACAACAGAGGTGGCACCAACTGGGGGTGAGATACATCTCTCACTGACATCTGCACCCAGCAGATCTCAAGAGCTCTGAGAGACACCCCCCATCCCAGCAGTGCCAGTTATCGGTTATCCGCAACTATTTGTGGAAGCTCAGGCCCAGTCAGCAGGTGACACGATACAGTTTCAAAGTGGTGGGTTAAAGTCTGGGTTATAGGGTTCAAGCTGTGAGCTGGGTGTGCACCCGTACTGATCTTGCCACTTCGGAGCTCTAGACTTGTACCATATTTTTCACGGAAATTCAAAAGCAGAGAAAGAAATAACATCTTAACATAGAGCGGATTGTGTTCAGTACACCCCCCAATAGTGTATTAATTTCAGTACTTCAGTTCAGCTCAATAATATTATCAATACTTTGAAATGTGATATTCGAAGCATGTATATTTTTCAACATTTGTAATCACCAATTACGTTTTTTTTTATTTTCTCCTGCTAATTTGGAGTATCCATATTGTTAATCCACTGTGACATGCACTAGCCTGAGAGATTGAGGCTGGTGAGGTCCTCACCATGGGTCAAACACTGGTAGCTCTACATAGTGATGCAGCTCTCACATACCTGGTGGGTCCCAGGGGTTGCTCTGACATGCTAATCAGAATACCCTGGTCATCTTCAACACCCCCTCCCCATGCTCAGTGGTGTTTGGCGATCTGCTTAATCATTGAATGTAATTACCTCTGCTAACCTGGTCACCTACTGTAGCAATCATGACATTACCCAGACTTCAGTCAAAGTGGAGAGCATAGGGTTGCTACTGGTGTAGTCACTGAAGTGCTTAAACTCATTTTGTTTACCAAATGCCAAACACCTATGGACTGATTAACTGAAATAAGACAAACACGGTGATCCTTTTTTCAGAGGTAGAGGTTTTATTGCGTAAAACACTGGATAAAACTGTACTGCTTCAAAGACATTTTAACTTCTAACAGCAGAAAGAAAACAGTCATTGCTGAAAAAAACAACTTTTAATACCTCTATACCAGAATAAAGTTCTGTCAACAGATGTATAATAATAAATAATGACCAAGAATAATCCTTAAATACAAAGTCATCTACTTGTTATAAGCATAGCAACAAAATCCTCTACTCTACTGTTCTCAGATCTCCTCCAAGATAGAAATATTCTTCATGTAGGAATGTAGACAGTATTATGACCAGTATCACAGACTACAGAAGTTACAGAGAAAAAATTTGACATGTTTAGATTTTGAGAAGCATGATGATATTCAGAATCTGACAATGCATCACCGCGTCTGTCACTTGTTTGGATTATGATTTACAAATATTTTGGAAAAAGGGGGGGCTTACGTCAGAGGTGGGGAAGGCAGGGACAGTAGCACCGGACCATATGGAATCAACGAACACTTCACAAAGAACGGGAAATGTTTCCAGTGTCACAAACAGAATTATTGCCTGTCATATCTGAAAATGCTCAAAAGACACAGAGGAATACTGAAAAAGCTCAAAAAGTGCGAGAAATGGAATGTGTTTTTTTCTTTTTTTTAAACTTTTTTACATTTTTTTCATTTTGTCTAAGATACTGAAGGCGGCGCACACACACACACGAAAAAGCAAGCGACTGACACAGTCACCAAACACAGTAGTGCAGTTAAAATCCTAAAGCTTACTACAGTCATAAAGTACTTTTAATAACATTTCGATCCCTCGGACGGGCTCGTAGAAACAGTTGCATTAAGTTTATCAACTTGATTTAAGTAAGGCAGTGAGAACTATACTAAAAAAACAAAACAATAAAAGCAGCTTGCGTTATGCCACATGGGTCTTAATTACAAAGTGACCTCATTTAAACTGTAACTTTAATCTGATGATATCCTTTTTACCAGCATATGCAAACCTTTTTTTTCTCCTTAGCCTGAGATTTTCCTTCTATAATCTCAGGGTTATGCTTAGAATTTTATTTACATTGATTGCAGTTTAGTATTTTTGTAAACTGCTTTAGGCAGAGATGAAAATTTTAAGGCCCAGGGGTTTTAGTGTATGCTCCCAGCCTGAATGGGAAGATATTGACTTTTTTAAAGTCTGGATTATTTTTTTTTCAGAAGACATGAATAGTTTTCAACCACTGCAATAAAAAGCACCTTTTTTTTTCTTTTTTTGCCTTTAACAAGAGGAAGTACATTAAAAGGCAACATACTTTTTACTGCTTTTTTTCAAGCTGATTTCATAGGATCTAAACCTTTTATTTTAATATTTCCAGAACAAAATTAAAACAAAACCAAAAATGGAAGAAAGCAAAAACAAAAAGTGTTTATTACATCCTCTCAAAAAGCTTCCTATATGAAAATGAACATAAATTTGGAAATCCAAATTGTACAAAAGCTAAAATTTGTAAAAAATATAGAACAAATTTATGTTTTACAAAAACAAAGAAGAATTAGGTAATACACACGTTTATATTAGAGACAAAGAGCAGGAAACATTTTTTTCATTTTTTCTCTTTTTTAGCTACTTTATAAGAGCTTAGGAAGATAGTCCTGCATTGTGTCTTTATCACTTAAGAAAGTGACAAACAGAAAACTGACCATGTTCAGGGAAATTCCTTCATTCGAATATGGAGCAAAACTCTTGCTATGAAAGAAACATTCTACGTCTCCCTAGTGCCTCTGAGAACCAAGGCTAGCTAGTTTCAGTACTATACAATGCTTATGTACACTGCTACTACATTTTTAAGGAACAGCAAAAACCTACTTCATCGTTATCAAACAAAAGGGAAAAGTAAAAATATCTTTCCCTCTCAATACTGCAAATTGATCACCAGAAAAAAAGAACTGTTTAAATCTGCATGGGCATCTGTGCAGATTAATGGATTCTTACAATATGCAATTCGTTTACCTATGATCTTTTTAAAGAGAAAGCAAATGTAATATCCAGGTCCTGCTCAACACAGGTCAGTACTGACCCTTTGCTTATAGGCCAGTCTAGAGTTTCTCTTATAGTGCAGTTGCGACACCGGCTGAATTGATTTCTTCTGCTATGACAGCTCCAGTCAGGCTGGCACCATGGCAGTCTACTAGTACATCTCATTACTATGCTAGGCAAATGACAGCAGCTGGTGTCATGTTATAAAGGTGTTTTCAACGCTGAAAACACAGCCCCTCGATCTTCTAGGCATCGCTAAATCGTTTATACGTATCATTTTTCTGGTAAAAGCATTATTTTTGGGACAAAAATCACTTTAAAGATTTAATGTCCTTCTTTTTTTTAAAATAACAAGTTAATTTCCTGTCACTATATTTTATATAACTTAAAAAAACGCCTTTTTTTTTTTTTACTTCTTTTCCCACGTGCCATTTTCAACAGTACTTTTGCAAAACACTGGGCGGCCATTTTGGAGGGCTCCCCCTTGGATGTTACAGTTCGGTTGTATTAATATATTTTGTTTAGCTGCTTTTTTAAACGTGGAATATTCTTAAAAAGTGTTTGGAATGTGAGTTACATTTTTAATCTCCACACCCACCCTCACCACCCTCCTTTAATGCCTGTGGGAAATCTTCGTCGTAGTTGTTGGTGTTGTTGTTGCAGTGGATGCTGTAGTGGAAGTGTTGTTGTGCTGTTTTTTACTCCTGGACTCCGGCCTCTGGCGCAGATTCTCCCGCACTTCCGGGCGTCATGGCGTTCGCGTCTTCCGAATTCCCGGACGTGTCTGAGTCGACTCTGGATCGCTTGAATCGCCGGTCGGGGTACTGGCTGTTGTCAAAAGGCATGCGATGAACACACAGCACATGGGTCTTCAAGTTTCCCTTCTGGGAGGCACTGTATGGGCAGTATCTGCACTGGAACGGCCTCTGACCTGCAGAAAATAAACAAACAGAAACAATTAAAACACGGATTCGAAACCAACACATGCTTAATAACAGACTTAAACACCCAATCAGATGTTTGCATTAAATACTGTACATACAGTATTAAAACTTTAAAACTTTATGGATTCTGCTTTACTTTTAATTTTTATGTAACTCTTTAAATCTTTATATTTAAACTTCATTTCCGTAATCTATTTTAGCCATCTTTGTTTCTGAGAACCAAATAATAAGACTTCTGTCCCTGTTTTAACTGCACAACCATTTGAAACTTTTAATATCGCCAGACGACTCAGATTAAACTGAAACAGTGTGGCAGTCAACTGCTTTATCAGGAATACACAGTTGTATTTCATTAGCAGAACTGTTGAAGTACATCACATATACCTAATCCCATCTAATAGTGATTAAAATACGTCCAACTGACAATATAACTTTGAGGGACACCACATATAACATTACTTATTTCGTACAAACTCTACCAAAGAAACAAGATTTGTTAGATGTCCACAACAGGTCCACATATTTTTTAAATCAATTATCCCCTTTTACTTACAGTAGTTTGCACAATATTCATGTGACCATATTTTTAAATCTTGATTAGGCATTTGAGTCTACAGTATACTCACAGGTAAGTCATTTGCCACTTTAACTAGATCATTCTCTGTTCTATGACTGTAAACAAAGCATGAGTGAAATGCCCTTCTCCAAAAGATCTTTTCTATCTAGAAAACTTTGTTTGACTATTCAGTTTTCAAGAACCTTTCCAGCAAGTCTAAAATATATTTCATATACTGTACATTTAGCTAGAGCCCTTACTAGGGCAGTTTTAAAAGGAGCTGGAATTATCCCTGTTGGCAGACAACTATTAATTAAATGAGGACCATCACTGCACAAGTCACTAAACTTTCCCTTCAAAAAAGCCAAAGGCTTTTTATTAGCCTTTGGCTCCCAACAAAAAGTCATAGATTTCATCTCCCCCTGTTTCTATTTCTTTAGAAATAGTCCAAAAATCTTCACAATATTAACTAAGACCTTAGTTACCATGACAGAAAATGGTTTAAATATTGGTACGGATTTGATAAAAGAAAAAAACAACAGCAAGATTTTAAGATATCAACCATGAAACATCGAACAAAATGAATTCATGTTTATTGTGTGTGGAAAAACTGACTTTATATTGGTTGATGCTACAGTAAATGCACCTTTCGCTAGTATTAATTTCTCTGGAGCTTTACAAAATTACAATGTCTGCACAGGGCACATACAGACAGAACACAAAAGGGATTGTTACAAGTTTTAGGTTTAAAATGTTCCAGTTGTCTGAATTTTTAGATAAGCGAGGCAAATACACACAATAGAAGCATTTTATTCATGTGCGGTTTAATTTCACAGTCTTTTACATTATGTTAAATCTAAGAAGCTGATTTTCTTATCCCATTTTACACTTAAGAGAATGAATGTACCCCAACAAGTCAGCTTTACTGCACTGTTTAAAGTAAATACAGAATGGGTTCATTTGTATTGTCATTGTACAGTACAGCTGAGGTAAAGAGCACATTCATTTTTAATTCTGCATGAATAATATATAAATATGTACACAGGCTAGGGTCAGGCGGAGTAAGGAAAGAACAAGTGCCACATTGTTTACAAGAGATGAACTAGAAGGAAAATAAATGCTTCCACTCTGTACTTCTACTATGTTTATGAACAAACAAATTACTTGATATTAATGGAACCTAGGTTTCTACATTCAGCTGTAATAGTGCATCGGGTTATTGTGAAAAGATATCTTATTAAAAATTCAGTTGTGTTCTTATACCAAATTGCAAAACAGCGTGAGGTTATAGAAAAGACAGAAGCAAAAGCTCATTCTGTTGGAATCCTATAAGTGCTCATGGCAAGAACTGCCAGACCTACATTAGCCACCATTTTAAAAGTAGAGTATCATTTTTAGTGCGTTCTTTCAAATGAAATAAACTAGAAGGGGCAATATGGATGGGATTTTTACAGTTATTATGGTTGCATATACAATATATAAAGAAAGTTGATAACCAAAAATCCACTTTTATCACTTTCCAAGAAAGAACAAAGCACAGAATAAGCATAATCACTTTCTGATTATGAATATCTTCTGAAGGATATGAATAGCAATTAAACACATTAAAGAGAAATTTACATTAAGGGACAATTTGGGTGTTTGTGTGGAGGGTATTTTAATGTTGCACTAGAATATTTTATGAAAAGCTATGAATCAGCTGATCAAGCAAAACGTGTCAAATAGCATCCCGATAAGAGACTAAAACCAAAGCTGGGTAAAACAAAAGGTAAACCTGGTTTTTCAAAAAATTCCAAATGTATGCAAAAAAATGGAGAAAAACCAACAAGACATTGTAGCTTGCTCTCTGTTAAAACCCCTTAAAAAAGGCAAATACCAACAAAAACAAAATCCTTTTTCTCCTATTCCGCAACGCCTTCTTAAAATGAAAGGTGTCAGATTTAGCTTTTTGTTCTTGGCGTGATTCTAAATGTATGGCTGAGGAATGACAGATGTCGGCAACCAGCTGCAATGAAGCATGCTAAAGTTTCCGTCTAATCCACTTACTTCACTGCAGTCACATAAACCAAAACAAATGGGCAGCGTCTTACATTATACAAAACATGCCAACATTACTCTGTTGGATAATGTAGCTAATACTCCATATTTTTTTATAATTTCTTCCAGCACAATAGAGGCACATCTCTCTTATTCAACAAATGCTTTTCTCAGAAAGGACATCAATCCTTCCAATTCTGTTTTGTACTGCCACCTCAATCCAGTTTTATTTATTTGTGCATAGTTTAGGAAATGACGTGGCCTCTGGCATTAGGCCTACTGATGGTAAATATAGAGCACTTATTTTGTTTTGATACCAACATTTTGAAAAGTGGCATTTAATGATGGTGGTGATATTTTTTAGAATATTCTGTGTCTTGTTTAAAGCTAGCTAATAGCTATGAAGATGAACAACAATGGCAAAAAAAGAAGAAAAATTATTAGTTCCATTGTCTTTTATGAGGCACTTGGCTAATTAACCCATGAAGGCCTTGTGTAAAGAGATCAGAGGTCTGGGAAAATTGCAAAGAATATAGCGTTACTTCCTCAAAAAGCCTAATACCCCTACAGCTTGTACAGCCACAACCTTTTAAACTCTCCCTGCTCCAAGCCTTGTAAAAGAAAGGAAAGGACACAAAGTCATGTGGCTCTCTCTCTCTCTCTCTCTCGCCAGCAGTCCACAACAGCTGTGAAGCATTCTTTCAGCATACATTTCTGAAAAAAGATGTGGTGGATGTTGCCTGTGGCAAAGCAGAGTACAGTTTCTAGCCCTTTAGGCTAAAACAATAAGCGCAACTCTAAAGATCTCCTCACCCACCCCACCTCTCCTCTTCTCTCACTGGTCTAACTTCCCACTGTAGAAAACCACTGAAATAACCTCGTACTGTTTCCCCCTGGTGTCTCACAAGCAGTGCTGCTTTGGCAGGGAATCAAAATTACTCTTATATAAATTCCATCTGATGCCAGAGCTACCATCTGTGAGTGAAAGAGCTTCACCTACGTCTGCCGGCAAAAGACACTCTCCCTGAGACAAGGGAGTAAGGAGAGAAAGAGAGGGAGAAAGAGAGAGAGCGAGAGAGGGGGAGAAAAAAATTGATTAATTTGCAGAATGCTTGTGATTTGCTCATATATTATTATAACTGCTCATCAGCACATGACAAATTCCCAGCACTGTGCGCACGAACCCGCTTGGTTTCAGCAGTTTTTTTGTGTGCTGGCACCTGACAGACTGCAGAGCCACTAATGACTTTCAGATGCTTACAAATAGTAATTCTATCTTCAGAATAAGAGGAAAAAGCTGTAGGAAAAAAAGCAGTTAGTCTGTTTAATTTCCGTCCATGTATTATTTTGGATTAACCCCTGGCAAGCTGTTTGCTTTTAGGAAAGAACAAGAGAAGAATAGCAGTATGGAGTTCATCATACAGGATTTCCAAAAGATTCTCGCTGTTATGACGCTGCAGGGGAAACTTGCATTTAAAACTAGTGGTGGTCATTCAAAAATCAGCGCAAATAACTGCCTGTTTAACAACTGATCAAAAAACATTCTACAAATAAATTAAGGATTAGTCTTGTTAATAGGGTAAAATGGGATTGTGGAGTCTTTATACTATGTGGTCTGATTAGAATCCTAAACCATGTTTTGAAGCCTTATAAAAAAAAAACACCTTGCATTTAGCTCTTGAAAGAAAAATTCATAGTCTCTGAAGAAAAAAAACACACAGAAGGTGTAAGCAATAAAATGTGATGCACCATCTGTCCACGAATAATAACCTGGAAGTTCTGAAGACTTAGAGATTACTCAGCAAACAACATGTCCAAACAGCATATTCCCCCTTGAATATTAGTATGCACTTTCACACTCTAGCTGAAACTGAGCTGATTGGATCTGGGACACAACTTGTATCATTTCAGGTATGAGGCATTCCCATTTCAAGTGAGAGCAAACAGCCAGTTTTTTTTGTCCTTGAAAACAGTTTGATCAGCGTTTTGTTATTTAGATTAAGAATTTAGCAGCCTGTCCTTTGATGTTACTGTATCCATGCGCAAATTTAAACTTCTGCAAATGTCTATTGTTAAAATGACTTTGTCAGTTGCTGGACTTTAGAAAGCTTCATTGATAAAGTCTACACTAAATTAACAATGTAACAAAAATCATTGGCCCATATCTTTAATGATATGACGCTGGCCTATTTCCTTATGTAGCCAGAAATTTATGTATTTGTGAAGTTAAGCAGACATTCAGAAGGTGAAATTATAACCTTGCACTTCCGCTCTCTTACCTATAAATATTCTCCTGCTGTACACCCCTTTACACACATCTTTTCCAGCAGCCCTCCTCCACCCCATCTTCACCCTTACAGCACTCTCCCTGGTTACAACAGACTCCCCGGTCAA